TTAATACTCGTGTGGTTTCTCATGGACTACTTACGGAACTTCTTGAACGTACCCCAACTTCCACAATGCAGCATAGCTTACAAAACTCCAGTTCGTGGTTTTCATTTCGTTATAGATATTTATTATCTACAGTCCGTCAATTCATGCACCGTCAACAGAATTCCCCGAAGATGTAAAAGATTAAAGAATCTAGGTACCTATACCTCTGAGTATTTTTGATGACCATGCACGATTTTCATGACCGAAGCTGTTCGGCAAATTTTTATTTTTTAGACAGATTGCAACTCAAGATCGAAGACTAACGTATCCATCCAAACCGGAGTTGCTGAAACTCCCGGTCGCCGTCGAGTGTTCAGCACAGCTGACGGGCAGAACTTGTATGTTGCGGATAACGATTTCAATAATTTTTCAGCCATCCGCAACCTATTCGATGGTGAGTTTTGATGTCTCCAAGAGAATGGCAAATATCTTGAATTACCCATTACTACTCCATTATATGCTTTCCCTGTCATGGTAACCTTTGTCAAGCAATAATTAAGACATTACTCAGAGTTAAAGAACCGTGAAATCGTAGAACTGTGGACTCCACCGCTAGCATTGGATACGAATTGATTGCATGAATAAATGTGAGATTGCTGCCTGTATTCAGATGTCCGCGCGCGGGAAAACAGTTTAAACCGCGAGGCTCTTACGATTCCAATGTGATCACCTCAGCCCCTGGGGGAGGAGGTCGTTGCGCGGTGGGCGGGGTCGCGTCGCCCATTTGAGGCGGCTCGCGGGTGAACAACTCGTTCACATCGGGCAACCCTCTGTCTGTCCTCTATGGCTGATAGAAGCGCGACCAATGGCGTCACTAGTATTAGACGCCGAATTGCGGATCTCCTTGTATTCCGCCTACATACATCATCCATTTGCGCTTTTGTGTGATTTTTTATTGCTTCTTGTCCCCTTTCTCCATGGATACTGTCCGAAAACCCCAAATGGATGATGTAGTATGTAGGCAGAATACAAGCATGTCCGCAATTCGGCGACTAATAGTCGCGGCGTCATTGTTCGCGCTTCTATCAGGTGGAGAGAGCAGACAGAGGGTTGCCCGATGTGAACGAGTTGTTCACCCCGCGAACCGCCTCAAATGGGCGTCGCGACACCCGCCCACCGCGCCAAACGACATACACCCGCCCCTGGGTGTGCATCGCATGCGGCGCTTGCGACATGACCTAGTTTTGTGACGATGGCCCTGGGCGTTCCCCACAGTCAACCGATCAATACACATTTTTTCAAGTAGCGTTCAATGATCCCATTCTACCGAATCACTGAAAAAGCTAATCGATCGATACTTATTCAGTCCGTGACTCGAAGTCCTCAATTCTCCAGTACTACAATGGCAGGACTCTAAATGATGTCCTACTCTTTCCCATTATACATACATAGAGTATGGCAAAAGGAATGAATGCATGATGACTGTACCTCTTCTGGTACCGATTCCGGCAACTCCGTGCACGAACAGTTTCGTGCAGACTCTGAACAAAGTGCCAACAAGTATTGCTATACAGGGTGCGCCAAAATTATGTACTTGCTCAGATATCCACCGCTGTGAAATCGGTCAAGCGACAGGTGGAGGATTAATTCTTTACAACCCTTTACTTATATTATGGCGAAATTTGGTTTTGGCGCCTATTATTGGGGCCCAATTTTGAAGTAGAGTAGATTAGTAGGATCAGCTAGCCATACTAATCTATTCCACTTCAAATTTGTGCCCCTATAATAGGCGCCAAAACCGTCCAATTCGCACCGAATTTCGCCGCGCAATTTGCCGCGCGCACCCAGAATCGCACGAATCGAACGTCCCCGATTCTATACGATGATCACGGTGATACGTTCCAATCGATACCATTCCTCCCCTGAAGCGGGAATGACACTGTCACCGAAGTTGGAAAGACGCAGATAGGTCATGGGTTTCTTTCGCTGTATCTTGTGACCTCGCATGAGACCTTGATATCCCTATCGCCAGAGGACTAACCTCGTCTGCTTCCGTGAAACCCTCACCGGTGCAACTACTTCAGTGGAGCTGCGCTTCCTGTTCCTTTCATCTAAAAGGCTGCTTTCATAGTCCGCCAGCCGGCCGGCGTGCCGGCGTGCCACGAGACAGTGCTAGGGGGAGGGGGAGGAGGGAGGGTCGGTCGAAGGACTGAAAACAAAGAAGAACAAGATCAAAAACCAAACGACCAGGGACTTGTACAAATGGTTTTTGATCTTGCCTCTCCTTGTTTACAGCCCTTTGAGGGGCTGACCGACCGTCTGCCGCCCTCCTCCCCCCTAGCACTGCCTCGTAACACGCCGGCACGCCGGAGGACTATGAAAGCAGCCAAAGCTGTTTAAAAGTGATTCTCGCCTTCAGTGTTACCAACAACTGCTGTTTACTCCTAACCTCAGTGAGTGGCGTACATACTTCCTGTTGCAGATGCTGGCCCATGTGTCGCCGGAAGTCCACATTCGATTTTGACACTTCCTGTTTTTATCTCTAGCGACGTCTTAGACAAAGTTAGTTTGGTCATTCTTCATTTAAGAAAAAAAGTCAATTTCAGGACTTATATTGGCAATACCATTGTTATAGCAATACTGTTTACAGTGCAAATTCGGGTCATGCAGGTGAAATCACCTAGAAGTGCATATAACATTTGGTTTTGTCTCGTCCATGTGGCAAACTGGTGCTGACATAGATTTGCGCTGATGTCCAGAAAAGCTCATTTGGCGCGGCAAAATCAGTGTCGATTTGGACGATCCTGATGCCTATTATTGGGGCACAAACTTGAAATAGAGTAGATTAGTAGGATTGGATGATCCTACTAATCTACTCTACTTCAAAGCTGTGCCCCAGTGATAGGCGTCAGGGTCAATCAAATTGCCGAATTTTGCCGCGCGCGTCTCCAATAGAGCGAATGTACTCATACCCCAAGCTGCAGGGTCTCGCGGCAATTACCGTAATCTCCCACGACGCTTCAAATCTTCCCGCTTCACAGTTGGCGATAGCGCGCGATGTGTTAGGGTGAGTGCGGCACGCCTGTTGGGTACAAAATACCGCGGCCAGGGGGTGAGAAGTCTATTCATCGCGACCTCTAGAATTTGAAAGGGCCGCATATTGAATTTATTCGTTAAGGGGGTTGAGGTATTCATGGTACAGATCCGTAGAGCCGTACACCACCTTCTCTGCATTCTAGCGCCTAGGCCTACTGTTAGAAGAGAGCGGTGCCCACTCTCAAACTATTATACATTTTCAGTTTAGTGAGTTGGGGGGGGGGGGGGGGGG